CCCAGAGGGTGGCTGTGAGTGGGAACGGGCAGTGGGCAGGGAGCTGAACCTGCTCACAGCCTCACCGAAGTGTACATTTTGAAGGGATTTAGATACCTGTACCTGACGCCTCAAGACTACACGCGCATCAGCGCCCTGAACGCCGTCCACTGCAAGCACATTGAAGAAGGAGGGGAGTCCAGGTGAGCCGCGTGTCGCTGCTGCTGTTGCGTTGGCTCGTGTTGGCCTCCACCCCCGGTGTCCCCATACACAATCGCTAGATCATTGCCGGGCCCTGCACCGTATTCCTGATCGCTGGTGGACTTGGGTCCATGGCTGCAGCCACTGTACTGTGAGCGCCTCGGCGTCGTGGTTACGCATTAGGCTGGTCACTAAGCTCAAGGTCAGCAGTGTGAAACCACCAGGGGCCTTGTCGGAGGAAGGTGAGGCTCTTGACTCCCGTAAAGAACGACAGTCTCGGAAACCCACAGGGACCGTTCTGCCCTGTCCCGTAGGCTCACGGTGAATCAGCATCGACTCAATGGCCGTCAGTTTGGTTTGGGGTCTTTGTCCAATCCAGAGTACTCTTCCAGCCCAGAGTATGATGAGGTTCCGCAGGGCGCCGTCGAGTGCCCATGGGCCCATTGGTTCATTGGCAACCACGCGGGCCCCTCGCAGGCCGGATGCCCTGGCACGCTGCTCTCGGACACGCGTGGGGTGGTGGAGGTGGCATTTTGCTGACTCAGCCTCCCAGCAGTCAGGCACCGCCGGTTTGGTGGGACAAGACCGCCAGTTCTGTTCTTGCTCTTTTCAAAATGTCAAAGGCGGTCTTGGGGGTCGCTTCTCTTCCCACCCCCCTCCCCTACCACTCCCTCCAGCCACAAGCCCCGGAGAAGCCCGGCAGCCTCGGAGTGTCCGAGCTGGAGCCGCATTCTCCCCGGGTTTGGCTCTCGCAGGTACATGGTCACAGACATCATCGGGAAGGACAGCGGCCTGGGCGTGGAGAATCTGAGCGGCTCAGGCATGATCGCCGGGGAGTCCTCCCGGGCCTACGATGAGATCATCACCATCAGCTTGGTGAGCTTCCGCTTCCTGTGGTTTTCTTCATGGGAACTTTGAGATGGTCCCCCAAGCAGAGAGAGGTCCTGAGGAGCCGCCCCACCCCATGCCCATTGCCCAGCTTCAGCAAGTACTGCCCCAAGGCCGTCTTTGTCCCCCAGCCCTGTTCACATGCCCACGGCACGGCCCAACGTGATCAGCAGTTCTCCTTAAAGGGCATTGTCGCCTGGTTCAGGGGCAGTTCTAATGGTGGTGTAGTGGGTGTGTATTGGGCTGCGATCTGCAAGGCCGGCAGTTCAAACCCACCAGCTGCTCCGAGGAAGAAAGACGGGGCTTTCTTTCTACTCCCACCAAGAGCTATGATCCTGGAAGCCCATGGGGGCAGTTCTGCCCTGTCCAGAGTTGGAATGGCCCTGAGGGCAGGGTGTGGAGTTGGTTTGTTCGACGCCAGCTCTGACCTCTCCCTGTGGTCAAAGCACTGGGTGTTGAGAAGAATTCTGTCTGACTTGAACTGCTGTAAGACAAGGAGACACCCCCGTTTGTGGCCTCCCTCCAAACGGTTTCCGTGGAGCTGCTGCAGGTTGGAACCGGCTCGATGCCAGGGCGTTTGAGCTTGGTTGTTATCCCCAGCAAAGCGCTCTGGAGGCGGTGCCCGGTAAGTGTGAGACTCGGACTGCTGGGTCAGTGGTGGAAAGGTCAGGCAGCCTGCTCCCTTAGAGGTCTGCAGCTTCAGAAACTCATGTCGGGTCACAAGGAGCTGGGATCGACTCAATGGCAGGCCAGTGCTCATAGTAGCAGCAACAGCAGTCTTGGGAATTGTGTTAGGCCAGGTTGACTAGATAAACAAATCCAGGGACACTCATATCTAGGTAAGAAAGAGCTTCCTATCAAAGAGCAGTTATCTGTCAAGAAAACATCTCAGCCCAGTCCAGATCAAGCCCATAAGTCGGATATGAGCCCATGAATTCCTCTTCAGACTCATGCAACACACGCAATGATGCCGAATGCAGGACGATTACAGGCCTGTGGGCGGAAAGTCCTGTGGATCCAGTGGCGGTCGAAGTGGGTCTCCACGTGGCTCCTCCAAGCTCTCTGAGTGTGGCCTCTCAACAGCAATGGGAAGCAGAGAGAGTGTGTGTCCCACCTCCAGGGTGGAGGCAGGGAGGTCCCAGAACCCTCATGAGAAGGCCACGCCCACCAGGAGGCATCATCAGGCTGTGTCCTGATTGACAGGCGAGACTCCACCCCTTCACTCTTCCTAGCCTCAAGGAGATTATGTAACAACCACAGAAATTAAAAAAAACCCTGCCATCCAGTCAATTCTGACTCATAGCAACCCTGTAGGACAGGGCGAAATTGCCCCTGTGAGTTTCCGAGACTGTAACTCTCAACAGGAGTGGAAAGCCTCATCTTCCTCCCTCAGAGCGGCTGGTGGCTTCGAAGCGCTAACCTTGAGATTAGCAGCCCAGCTTGTAACCACTAGGCACATGTCGGGGGAATAGTACTCTTTAATGGTAGCTCAGGGACCCCTGGTAGGTCCGTGGGCTGTATCCATTGTGCCGCTAACCCCCAGGCCAACCATTTGATGCAGCAGTCACTCGATGGGAGAGAGACCCTGTAAAGACTGACGGCCCCAGACACCCACAGGCACAGCTCCACTCTGTCCTGTGGGGCCGCAGTGAGTCAGCACGGACCGGGTGGCCGCGCGTTCGAATGAGTGAATGGTCAACCATCATTCAAGCCTACGTTTGACGTGTGACATGAGAGCTTCTGTTTGCAAGGTGGAGAAATGAAAACCACGAGGGGTGCCTTGTTCAGGCCCGTCTCCTCCATGCTCTCCTCTCTCCCCCTAACATAGAACCTTTTACTTTGAAATGGTGTAAGCCCCCCAAGAAATGGAAAGAGAAACACAGAGCAGGCCTGTGTACCCCTGACCCCGTTTCCGGCTCAGCGTGTCTCCTGCAACCCTGGTACTGGGCTTTAGCGGAACACACGGAACGTGAGCTCCACACGGAAGGGGCCCCTCCTCATATGAACCCCTGGACTTGTGCAAGAGGCTGTGTTGGTTTGTGATGGGCAGAGCTCCGAGCGGCTCTGCCGGAGTGGCCCGAAGCAGGCCGGGACCTCCAAGGCCCCTGGATTGCCCTAAAGCATCTACTCATTCACCGCCAGCCGCCTCCTTTTGGGATAGGACGCCGAGTTCTAAAAGGACAGGCTTTTGTCTCTGCCGTTTGGCCCCCAGACAGGTCGCCAGTGGCTAAAACGTCCCCTCCACTTGGGCCCAGTGGGCTCCTGGGTTCTCTATGCTCTAGGGGCTGGGGTACCCTCGTGCTTCAAGGGTCCTGCCTATCTCCACAGGTGACCTGCCGGTCTCTGGGCATCGGGGCCTACCTGGTGCGGCTGGGTCAGCGCGTGATCCAGGTCGAGAACTCCCACATCATCCTGACGGGAGCAGGGGCTCTCAATAAGGTGATTGGCGGGGAGCCTGGTGGAGGGGGGGCGGGATTGCTTGCTTTCCCATAGCGCCCGCCCCCCTCACTCCCCTGCCACCCCCATAGCGGGCGTGGTTATCGCTTCTTGTAGAAGAATTCATTCCAGACTGGTCCCAAAGAGCTGGCAGCGAATGATGCCCCCAAAGCCCAGCTTCTCCCAGCCGCTCAGCTCCCTGTCCCCCACCCCTCACTCGGGCGGGTTCCCTCCTGGGGCGTCGCAGGAACTCGGAGACTTTGAGGAAACGCCTCACGTGGGCTGGTCCATTACAGAGCCTGAAGCCCCAATGCCCCACAGACACCCAGCATGTCTCTTGTACTGACGCGCAGTCAGGAAGTCCGAGGTCGGGCTTGTTGGATGACTTGCGGGGCAGAGCTGTACAGGGGCACCAGCACGTAGACCCCATCCGAGGAAGGACAAGGGCACACTCTCTAGTAAGGTCATCGTAAAGATGCCCCACGGCGGCAGAGGGTGCGACTGGGCTCACAGCTCTACGAGAGTCAGGTGGTAATGCCACCCTCATCCTGTCCTTCGGTGAAGAACGTCCTTTCACACGGGCTCACAGCAGCCACAGGCAGAGAGCCCAGGGCCGTGATGTGTCACTTAGGATGATGGCGAGAAGGACCATGATCGCGTCCCTGGTGCAGTGAGAGCGGACCTTCCCATCTGAGGCAGCACAGCGTCTTTATGAAACTCCTGTGTCCCCCCGCCCAAAGTGGCCACTGGCCGTTGGGGGCGCGCAGAGAAGAGTGAGGTCTTTCCCAATAGCCTGGCCAGGGGGAGCTAAGGGCTAGAGTGTGAGCTGGCCAGTGCTCCCTGTGGAGGGATTGTGGAGCCTGGGGTCCTTGGACCCCACTTCCAGTGGGCTCCGGGCTGCGGCCTGAGACTCTGCCTCTCCTCACATGTTTCCGGGAGCCCTGGCTGCTCACAGCAAGCTCCCTGCCAGGGCGAGTGGAAGCACCCAGGGGCGCTCCGACGTGTGGCCAAGGTGGAGGACCACCGAGCCAGACGGTGGGCGGGCCGTGGGCTGCAGGGACGCTGCAGGGCGGGCTGTGCTGACCGTGGTGTGTTCACGCAGGTGCTGGGAAGAGAGGTGTACACATCCAACAACCAGCTGGGTGGCGTGCAGATCATGCATTACAACGGGGTCTCCCACATCACCGTGCCCGACGACTTTGAGGGGGTGCACACCATCCTGGAGTGGCTGTCCTATATGCCCAAGGTGACCGAGCTCCCCTACAACGGACGGCCCAGAGACACCCATCTCCAGGCCCAGACCCGTGCCTCTGCTCCAAGGGCCCCCTTGCCTCCTGGGTGGGATGGGGGCCACGGGAGGTTGGAAGCCCTATGGAGGCGCTATGAGGGTGCCTGGACTTTACTCCACCCTCCTCTCCTCTCGGTGTCCAGGCCTGTCCTGGCTGGGCTGTCCGTGTCCTTTTGGGGGCACCATGGCATCTGCAAGGAGCCCTGGTGGCATAGTGGGTGTGCCGACCAGCTGCTCCGTGGGAGAAAGATGAGGCTGTCTGTTCCAATGGAGACCGACAGCCCTGGAAACCTACTGGGACAATCCTACATGGTCCTTTAGGGTCTCAGGGGGTCAGAACGGACTTAATGGCTGTGAGTTTTGGGGTTTTGGAATGCATGGTGGGTTAAGCATTAAGCCGTTAGTTAACCCAAAGGTTGGCAGTTCAGAAGCACTCTCTGTGGGCGGAAGGTGTCGCCGTCGGCTTCTGCACAGATCGACAGGCTCAGAAATCCTATGGCGCCACTTCTGCTCTGTCCTAAGGTTAATCCTTCTCTGAGATTTTTTTTCCCCCACCAAAGTCATAGCTTTGCAGCTCTGGAGGAGGGGGTATTGCTGCCTAGCCTGGCACAATCATAGCCAGAGGAAGAACCACTGTAGGACACATCACAGGGGTCATTGATAACCACTGGAGACTGAGGTGGGGATCTGTTTTCTTTTTTAGGATAATAAGAGCCCAGTCCCTATTATCACGCCCACTGACCCCATTGACAGAGAAATTGAATTCCACCCTTCCAGAGCTCCTTATGACCCCCGGTGGATGCTTGCAGGAAGACCTCACCCAAGTAAGTTATAAAGTGTTCTGTCTGTCCGAGACCTCAGGGTTTCTTTCCTGGACCTGGGATGAGGAGCACTGGGGAGACACATTAGTATTTGATCAATTGTCCCAGAGCAGCACCCTGATAGCAAATGCAAGAGACGGCTGCAGATTTTGCTTTACGTTTTCTGGCCTACGGACCACAAAGGTGTGAACCCTCTGGCTTCTTGAGCTGGTAGACAGAGATGAGGTGCAGCAGAGGGAATGGCCGCCCCAGAGTGCCCCGTGGCAAATGGCAAATTCACTGCTTCTGAGGTTCAGAGAGCAGATTGCCCTCTCTTGGTCCTCTTCTCTCGTTTGGCTAAACCTTGCTGGAAAGGAAACGGTAAGTTTCCTAGGATAAGCAGCTTGGCCTTTTCCACATGCATGTGCACACATACACAGATACACACATTCACAAGTGCACATGTGTATACACAGGTGTACACATGCACGTACATATCGATGTGGTACACTTGCACACACCTTGCATACAGGTGCATGTGCACATCCAAGGAGCAGATATACATAAGCACACACATGCACACATAAGGAACATGCAGAGGGACACATGTATATACATATGCATGCATATGCACATCTGCCCCATATACATGTATACATATGAACACACATCTGCACACAATATAAATGTTTGTGCACACATGCATGCACACACAAGGCACACATATGTACACACCTAAGTGCACACACACATGTACCTGCTCATAAATACACTAAGTGCACATTTGTGTGCACATGCACACAAATACACCAGGTGCACACACACAAATGCACATAAATACACCAAGTGCTCACACACATATGCACACGGATATACCAGGTGCACACACACATGCACATAAATACAGCAAGTATACACACACATGCACATAAATACACCAGGTGTACACACAGGCACGCACATAAATATACCAAGGCATATTTGCATGCACATGCACATAAATACACCAGATTCATATACATGTGTATATGCACATATGTATACCAGGTACACACACGTGTATATGCACATATGTATACCAGGTGCACACACTCATGCGCATGCCCACGTGCTCCCTCTCTGATGGCAGCGTCACTCCTGGAGCTGTATGATTGCATTCTGAGCAACAGTACAGCAAAGCTAAGCTGCGGCCCCCATGGCCTCCTGCTTAGAATTTCCCATTGCTGCTCCTGGAGGACTCAGCCTGCTCGGACAGCTGTGGGTCAGGAGCTATGACCCCGTGCTGAGTGACCTCCTCAGAAGCCAGAAGACGCCCCACCAGAGAAGCCTGGCATCTGGTTTCTCCCTTGCCATTTCTCTCAGAGCCCCCATCTGTGAACATGAAGTCCCCCATCTGCGAGCACTGTGGGTGCCCCCATCTGTGAGCACTGATGGCCCCTCATCTCTGAGCACTGAGGGGTGCCCCCAGGCAGGTAGCTTACCTGGGCCAGGTACGCAGCCTCCCACATTTGTGACTCCAGACACAACACCTGCCTGTTCCTCCTCCTCTTGAGCCACCTGCCACTCGGCCCCGTCGCCTGCGTCTTGATGAGCTCTTGGAATTGCTCTCTTCCCAGTTGTCCTGGTGCTGCAGGGACACAAGCGCCGCCCCTGGCAGCTGGGAAGGGCAGGCAGTTTCCTCACGGTTCTAGGGACCAAAGTCCCAGTCGGTGTCACAGCCGTGCCCAGTCCTGGTGATACCCCCTTGGCATATCCGCCCCAGGATGTGCCCATCTGGGCCTCGCTTACATTTTTTTTTTAATCACAGAAGTTTAGGGCCCACCCTGTACATTGGGGTGACCACATCCACATCACCAAGAAGCCCCCATTTCCACACACTCACAGGATACCCCGCCCCTTTGATTCTGACTGATAATGCCCAGGTAGGATGGTGTGGGCGCCCCAGAGTGGGTCATGAGGTAGGCTGCTGGCCACAGGGTCCAAGGTTCAAAAGCACCAGCCTCCTTGGGAGAAAGATGAACCTTTCTAGCCCTGAAAAGATTTACGACAGTCTTGGAAACGCACTGGCCGTTCCACTCTGTCCTGTAGGATCGCTGTAGGCTCTATGGCTGTGAGTGATTGAAAGAGGATAGAACTGTCCCTGTGGGTTTCTGTGGCCGTAATCTTTATAGAACCAGTGGAGCCACTCTGACTGGGGGGTTGGGGGGTGTCCAACAATGGAGCGTTCCCACCGCCGAGCCCCCAGGGCCCCATATTCATGTGTGCAGGGTAGGATGCCAACCCGTTTGGGGAGAGCAGTGTTCAGCCCATCACACTGATGAAGTGGTCGGTAAGCTGCAGGGTAGGCATGGGTTTCTCGGGGCAGGGGGGCAGCCCCTAGCCAGTTCTCCTCACCAAGGACTGAGCTGAGGGTCTCAGAGGAGGTGGGTGGGTGGGTGTTCCCTTGAACCGAGTTCCTGATGCAGTAGACTCTGAGGGGGTGACTGTCTGAGTGGGTGAAGTGCCTGGCTGTCAGGTTACGGTCCAGCTGCCCATAATTGCCTGGCTCTGCAGCTGACCTCTCTCCCCTGCCCACAGCTCAGAAGGGCACCTGGCAGAGTGGCTTCTTCGACCAGGACAGCTTCCGGGAGATCATGGCGCCCTGGGCCCAGACCGTCGTGACAGGGCGAGCAAGGTAGTGGGGTAGGGCGTGGGGGGCACACACCGAGTCCCCTCCCCTATCCCCAGCAGGGCCCTTTCTCTCTGGGCTCAGGATTTTCTGAACACAGAACCGATTAGAGGACTGTTTACCTCAATGGTGGATTTCTTGTCTGTGGCCTTAACTTAGTACCAATACCACACTTAGTACCAATGTTCTGCATAGTACCAATGCCACGCTTAGTACCAATACCACACTTAGTACCAATGTTCTGCGTAGTACCAATGCCACGCTTAGTACCAATACCACACTTAGTACCAATGCTGTGTATAGTACCAGTACCACACTTAGTATCAATGCAGTGCTTAGTACCAATACCACACTTAGTATCAATGCTCTGCTTAGTATTAATGCCACACTCAGTACCAATGATTTGCTTAGTAATGATGCCACACTTAATACCAAAACTACAATACTACACTTGTCTAGTACCACCACCACACTTAGTACCAATATAGTGCTATGCCTTCCAGGCTGGGGGGCATCCCTGTCGGGGTGATTGCTGTGGAGACGAGGACTGTGGAGGTAGCCGTCCCTGCAGACCCTGCCAACCTGGATTCCGAGGCCAAGGTGAGGACTGGGCGCCCTGCTGGGCATGTGCTGCCCTGGCAAGGTCCTTCCAGTTCACTAGTGGGCGAGCAGAGCACCCACAC